AGTAGCATGTAGCATGTTAGCCATGCAGTTCTGTGAGCTAAGGCAGTTCTTTCATTTCTGGTTTGCTAAGCAAGAGAGCTTGTTTCTGGCGGAGAGTCGGGGCAAGTGGGGGGGAGGGGAGCTCAGGAACCAGGAGATCTGGCCTGGGGTTCTGAGCCTAGACTCGTGGCCCTTCCCCTCTCCCCAACCTGGTTTTTGAAGGGATTGTCAAAATCCCTCTCTGGAGCCCCTCTTCAAGCGCTCAGCTTGAAGAGGGGCTCCAGAGAGTCCTGTTGTTAGCAACAAGGTCTGAAAGTTGGGGAGGCCGAGGTGGGCTCCTGGCTATCGTAGATGGCAGCGAGGCAGCGTGACGAGGGGAGACCCCTGAACTGGGCGTGGTGGCTTTGCCTGGGAACGTCCTGGGCCTGGGAGCTGGCAGCCCCCCCCCCCCCAGCTGTCCATGTCTGGCAAGCATTCCCACACCCCTCCCCAACTTACTGACCTCCGTGGGTAGACACTGAAATACCCATGTCTGGGCCTGTGTCCAGCGGTCGTTAAAAGGGCTCCACGGTGGAGACGATTTCAAGAGCACACCAAGTACACAGAAAGAAATTAGGAGAGGAGACAGAGGTTTGCAAACTTCAGGGAAGGGAGGTCGTGTGGGGGCCGTGTCTGGTGCCGAGCACTGACGCCCTCTGCCAGGTTTATCAGATGGACGGGAGGATGGCCAGGGTAGCCATCCTCTCGCTCTGTGGGCCAAGCGGGATGCAAGGAAGTTGGCGGTTCGTGGATCACTAGACAACGATTGCCTCTCCCCGGCTCCACCCAAGGCCATTACACCTGGTTTCTTACGGTCCGCCCCAGCACGGCCTAACCGAGTTTTCATTTGAAGGCGGAAGGCCGGAGAGCACAGCCGGAATTTGTGAGCTGAGGTCCCAGGCTGGGCTGGGCTGACTGGTCAGGCTACCACCCAGAGTGGACACTGCTCTGGGAATCTCAGGGCCAGACCTACCAACAAACTTCCAGGCGAGCTGGAACCTTCCCCAGCCTTGACTGTCGATGTGGCAAATTAATTCGAGAAAGCATTTATTAAAGGCCAACTGTAGGCCCAGCCCTTTGCATCCAGTGGAACCAATAACAGGGCAATCAAAGAGTAAGTGTGCACATAGTCCCACCAGACCTCAGCCTGCATTACATGAGTCTAGCTAGGCGTCTCGGACCTGGAGACCTGGAGCTGTTTGTTGTCTTGCTGGTCCTCTAAGCCAGCCTGCGCCGCCCAGACGCTAGCTCCACTCGTGTTCTTAAACAGGATCCAGTTGCCTGAGGCGCAGGGCCCCTGGGAGTGAATGGAAGGCTTTGGCTGACGAGGGCCGGCGGCTCCTTCCCAGTTCCTGTTCTGTTTGCGTTTCCCCCAGAGACAGGACCACTTAGAAACCTATAAATGCCTGGCAGGGCCCATGGCCCAGGCGAGTATATAAATCGGGACTTGTAAAAGCCTAATGGTCCCCTCTGGACGGGACCAGAGGGAGGCTCGTGCCAGAAGTCCTCAGGCGTGGCCAGGGGCTCAAATCCCGAGCCGCCGTGTAGCCTGACAGAGCAAGGCAAGGCAGGGCTGCTGTGGGCTGGCACACGAATGCCAACTCTGCCCAAATGGCCACAGGCAAGTGAGCGCCCTCCGTGTCTCAGTCCTTTTCTCTGCAAAGTGGGTCACACTACTTTGCATACAAGTGGACCAGAGCTGCATGTGCTGTTGGGAGTTGGCACTGGGTGTGGTGGGGTGGGCCACCCCGCACCTTTAAACAACCCGCATCCCTCTTCGCTAGCCGCCACGCCCCAGCCCCCCACCAACTCACGCCCACCAAGACAAGGTTCCTTTATGTTAGCCTTGGCTGTCCTGGAGCTAGTTCTGTAGGCCAGGCTGGCTTCGAACTCACAGATATCCACCTGCCTCTGCCTCCCAAGCACTGGGATTAAAGGCATGCGCCACCACTGCCTGGCTGGTATTCCTTATGGTCCTACTATGCGTGAGATTCTGTAGGGGCCAGTCATTGTTCCTTCTCTCCAGCTTCACCGATGGGTTTGTTGGGCTGTGCACTAGGTACCGAGGAGCCTGTGCCTGGGAGGGAGGAGGGCAGGCCAGAGCTGCCCTCTTGAGGCTTGTCTTCTAGCAGGGTCAAACCCTGCCCTGCCCCACCCTGTCCAGCAGGGGGAGCACCTGAAGTGTAAGAAGCTCTTGCTTCACTTCCTACTCACCATAAAGACTGTCCTGTCGGGGCAGGGCAGGTGGAGAGGGGTCTCAGGAACTATCCTCTGTCTGGATTTCCTGTGGTGCAGGGGTGGCGGGTGAGGGAAGAGGGAGGCACTCTGCCTGATGGCTTGGATCCTGAGGTCACTCATGGGCCCCTAATTTGAATCCTCGGAGGGCAGGTGCCAGTCTGCGGGATCTGGCCACAGGGCTAGAAGACAAGGTCAGAATGCACAACACTCCAGAGGCCCTGCCCCGAAGGCCTCTTCCCCCAGCTGTCCTTCCGAGCATGACCTGGTCACATAAAGAGGACTTCAAATGCTGGTTGTGGCATGTCAAAGTAAAAACCGAGGAAGAAAGGAGAGAGAGAATGAGGATGAACGGGAAGGGGTGAACTTGCAGTCAGAAGGGGAGGAGTAGGGGACAGGGCACAGAGCATAACGGCAGAGGTCAGAGGGGCCCTGGAGGGAGGAGACACAGTAGGGAAGAGGGAAAGGGAAAGAGGAGGATACAGGGCTCCTACAGAGTGCGGGTGGTTTTAGCAGGTGGGGGACAGCTTCAGCTGAGCACCTACAAGGTCAGCTGGGCATTGTCCTGGCAGGGAACAGACAAACCTCTATTGCTCTGAAGACCCCACGGGACTTCCAAGCTGTCGCCCATCCACGTTCCCTCTTCCTCCCACGACTCTCTAGGCCCAATGAGAAACAACCAGCCTACTGCACCTAGCCTCCAGCCTGTGTGACAATGACAGTCCCGTCATTTTGGGACGTGATGTCCTCGGGAGTGGCGACGGGGAGGCTCCCAGGCTCTCCGATCTAAGGGACAGAGCTGAGGAGTGGCCAGGAAGCCAAGCTTGGCTGGGGAGAGGATCAAAGATGTCCCCTTGCTATGGAACCCTCCTGCGCTGTGCGGTAGAGGAGGAGCCGCTGCTGAGCCCCTGAGGAGGCTGGCCTGAGCGGGGATGAAGAGGAGGAATCCCAACAACCGGCCCAGGCTCAGGCGCCCCGCTGAGCCCTGCCGTTACTTCCGAAGCTTGCCTGTCTTCTCTGCTCTGTTTCCAATGGCCTTTGTCTCCTCTTCTCCCTCTCTCTGCTCTGAAACTAAATGGAATCCAACTGCCAGCACCCTGTGTGTTCCCTGTGTGCTCGAGGCTCAGCCCTTTTCATTATTAATAGAAATATGTCCTCATTGTACAGCTTAATTCTGCTTATCTGGAGTGGATTAAGAGCCTACAATGACATGCAGTATTGACTCCTGAGCATCCCTGCTAAAGGAAATTTGCCAAAGCCTAATTAGTTCCATAAAAAGCAGGGGAGGGGTGGAAAGGGTAGGGCACCCTGGGTGGGAGGCAGGGGCCCTCGGTGCTGTGTGACTTAGGCCGGCCTTTCCTCAATGGGGCCTGGACTGGGCTGACACACCAGGAGGCCAGGGCTGAGGCAGATACGGGAGGCAGGAGGAAGCGCCGAGTCCAAAAGGCCAAAGGCACAGAGTGGGAGCACGGGCTGGCTGCATGACACGGGCGGTGGCTTCACCCCCTCTCAGTTTATCAATCTATGCAATGGGACAAGTGGCTCTCTTAGGCAAAGATGACGATGATGAAACAGGTTGCTGCAGCCCAGGTAGACGGCAGCCTATGCCACGCTCGAAAGACAACCGAGCGCTGCTACCAAGCCTGGAGTGCAGACTGCCTCATACTGCCAGACTGCTGTGGGGCCGGGCCTGACGCAGTGAACCATGCTGGTGCCTCGTTGGCTACAGTACCCATAAAGCCCTGGACCCCCGGGACAGTAACACAGAACAATCTCCTCTCCATTGCTTTCGGAAGGATTCGCATAACGGGTGTTTGAGGTTTCTCTAGATGGTGTTCTAGGTGTTTCTTGAATCTGCATGTTTCAAGTACTCAATCCAGCTTGGCTGGATGACCAATGAGCTTGGTTCCTCTCACTTTGCCTATGTGAGTCAGCCATGTAGACTGAGCTGGGGCTGTATCCGGCTTCTCAGTGGGGGCTAAGACCCTCCTGAGGGCATTTCCAGAGGAGGGGAGGGCTGGTACAGATGAGGCGAGTAGGAAACCAAGCCCCCTTTGGCCCCTACCGACAGGAATGCTTTGCGTTCATCTCCTCGGGAGACAATGCCATGAAGCCCACCTGTACAGACTACATGTGGGCCTATTGTCTGGGCCAGACACTGGAGACAGACAAAATGGAAGAACTAGGCAGGCTTTGGTGCTCTCGGGACTGGCCTCCCCTGTAGGCCCGAGCCACGAGGGGCTGTGGTTCCCATGGGCACAGTGCTCTCTGCATGCCAGCTGCTCTGTGGGGAACATTTTACTTCTTGCTTCCTAAGGCTGTTGGGCCTATTTCCCTAAAGGCTCCCTTGGTCCCTCGGCATCCCTGACTTGCACACAGCCCAGAGAGCAGAGCCAAAGCTGGCTTCTCTACGGGCTGAGTGAGGGCTCAGAGCAGAGGGTGAGTAGGTTGGCTCCACGGTCTGTCTGTCTGTCTGTCTGTCATTGAGCACCCATCAGACTCTGTCTACTCCCCTGTCCGGGGACTATATCCCCTTGGTTGCATTCCCCGGGGTCTGTGGAGATCACTGCACAGGATGGGAAGAGCGTTTCCATCCCCATCGCTGTGGCCCAAGGCCTCCCGGGCTGCCCTGGGCTCCCGCACTGCACTCCCCTCAGATCTTCTGGGTCTCAGCCTTTAGGCTGAATCCCAGGGCAGAACCAGGCCTTCACGTCTAGTTTCCAGTTTTTAATGTTTTTCTTGCAAAACCAAAAATATAAAACTCATAGGAGGTGGAAAAGAGGTCCTGTACATTGTATATACACGAGGTCCGTGATTTGAGAACCTTAGGAGGAGAGAGGGGGAAAAAGCCAAGACACTGTCACAGGGCCACAGTTCCTGGCAGGCAGCTCTGAGGCCAGACAGCCCTCCGAGGAGGGGAGCTTCCCCTGCGGTGCGGCCTCGCTGCCCCTTGTGGCAAGCACCAGGGCCCATGGCAAGCAGGTGAAGTAGTGTCAGGAGCCAGCCAGGCAGGTGCAGCGGGCCTCCTTCAGGTGTCTGTGTAGATGGGGGGGATGTGACTCAGGCAGTGGTCAAAGGCCCCGTTGGGGAAGAAGCCACAGTCCTCGGGACCGCTGGATACCAGGTCTTCAGACGGCTGTGGTTGCAGTGCAGGACACGGGGTTTCTGCCAGGGCCTCGTAGCCTGGGGGCAGGGCAGAGAGCAAGGGTCACAGATGGTAGGGGCTGGGCTATGCGACCCATCTTCCTTTTACATTCCTTTCATGCGGCTTTCAGATGGGGGCGCTGGTGACCTGGCTGGAGAGCAGTCACAGGGTCTTGCGTGCTAAAGAACCAGGGCAGCTGGCAAACAGGCAGACTGGCGTGGCACAGGCCCTTGCCAGTGTTTGACTGTAGTATGGTGGGGAGGAGGGAGGATGGGAGGAAGGCAGTTATTCTGGTGAGGTTGTACCCTGGCTCAGGGAGGCTGAGCCTCTCCAAGCTTTTCCTTCCGTCTCTATATGGGATGCCTTCCTCACCACACAGGGCTGGTACACAGACATGAGAGTGTATGAAGTCCCACCAGGGCTAGCCTTGGCAAGTGCTCAGGGGAGGGAGGCTTTTGGGCGGCTTACCTGGGGCAGGCAACGGTGCGCCGAGGCTGGAGTAGGCGTTGGGTCGCAAGGGGTTGAAGCCATGGGCATCACCCACTAGTCCGTCCCTGGAGGCTGCTGGCTCAGTGGTCCGGTAGCAGTCGCCATAGGGAAAGCAATTCTGGACGGAGTGGAAACTGCCTTGGTAGCCTGCGAGAGGAGGCAGGGAAGGCGGTGATGGAGGGAAGTAGCCACGTCACAGGGGAATCGGCCCCCTTGTTGCTCGGTTCAGGCATGGGGGGGTGCGGATGAGAAGGGGGTACAGGGAAAAAGTGGAGGATGGTAAGGTGGTCAGCTCCTCCACCTCCCAAATCCACCATACCTGCCCAGTCCTCCTCCAACCAGCAGGCCTCTCCTACCTGTCATCAAGGCCAGAAACCCAACCTGTTGTTCAGAGTACCCCCCCTCCCCGTCTCCCCCAGACCCCATGGCAGTCCTCGTGGTTCCAAGGGGTTGCGAGTGCCTTACCTTGGGGGCTGGGCAGAGGTGGCGGTGGGCTTTGGAAGGGTGGGTAGGTCGGCTTGCTGGGGAGTGCAGAGAATGACTGTCCCCCTGGAGACTGACTCTGGGAGGACGTCGGCAGAGGTGGGGGACCGAGCCCCTTCAGCGGGCTGACCATGGGTGAGAGGAGGCCAGGCCCCAGGCTGCAGAGAACAGAGCGCCACGGTTTCATCTTGGGCAGAGGCATGACCCAGGGCCTCAGCACCTGCTCATTTACAATGTCACGAACATGAGCCTTCCGGCTTGGTCACGTTCCAGCGGAGTTATGGGTTAGTTGAGACCTCCGTATTTAGGTCTCCAGTAAACAAGGAACAAAGATGGCTGTGACCTTGGGAATCTACAGATTCAAGCTCCTGGCACACACACACCTTGGAGTGTTGGGAGCCTCCGTTTTCCTTCGGGGTGCTGTTTACCTCCTGACACGTGGCAGCCGTCACCAACATGGGTTAAATACCATCCACCCCCGCTGGTGACCAGCCCTCCAACTGTGTGCCACTCTGGCGCTCTGGATGAGGGGCCGAACAGACCATCTGAAGTCTGATTCACCAAGGTCTCCTTTTTGGAGATCAGGAAACCAGGGTTCAGGGAGGCTGCGCCAGGCTTTCCGTCCACAGGGCCACACAGCGTTGACCTCACAGGCTTTGATGAGCGTTAAATAAAAACCACGTACGCACATGAGCCAGCACAACACGCATATGTCCTCATTAGTAAATACCACGGTGGGGGATGGGGGAGGAGGAAAACCAGCGCATGCACCTGACGTGCGAGCTGGCATTCTGTTTTACTATGTGGTGTATGGAGGGAGCCCCTCCTAATTTCCTTCCTGGCCACCTGTCTTCTACTTGCATAGCTTCTGTGACGGGAGGCCCAGTGCCCACACTCCCACAGAACTGGAGGAATGCAGGCTCAAGCCGTGCTCTCTGGAAGCCCGTGTGAGCTAAGACTGCAGGGCCTGAGAGATTCGCAGGTACCCTGAGCGCAGCCATGCTGAGTCCCACCTGACTTTGCTGCAGACCCTACAGGCCAGGCTCCCACCTCAGGTGTTCGTCCTAAACCTTGAGTTCTTCCTACAGGGACTTCGGGACTTTGGGCTCAGGGACTCGGAGCCCACAGGCACGCAGCCTTGCAGCCTGATGCACACAGGCACTGCCGAAGAGAGGGAGAGCAGCGGCCAGGTTTCCAAAGCTTCGGTTTGACTTGTGGATTTCCCGGGACCGTCTCTATCAACGGTTCTCAGCCTGTGGGTCCCAACCCCAAGGGGTCGCCTGTGGGCCAGGTGCAAAATTATAGTTACTCAGTGGGGAGGGAATAATTTTATGGTTGTGGGGGTGTCAGCCACAGCATGAACTGTATTAAAGAGTCGCAGCAGCATTGGGAAGGTTGAGACCTATACTAAAGCAGACAGCGAACTCAGGACCGTGGCTCTTGGCCACTCTGTCAAGCAAGGCACATTCCCCTCATTCCCCTACTAGAGGGTGGGGGGGGGCAGTGCCCACTCGGAAGGAAGTTAGACTCTGTGGCAGGGACAGGAGATCCAGGGGCGCACTGGAGATCCCCTCTGCTTCCTTTGGCCCTCGTAGCCTGCTCCCACAGCCTTGCCGGACACGCCATCTTCCGCACGCTTGGGACTCTCCGAATATAACCTGGAGATTTGTCAGTGTTGTGAGTCCACGGGGGACAGGGTCTCCCTCTGGGCACTGCCAACTGTGAAGGTCGGGCCATGAGCGGGTGACGATGCTGTTCATTCTTCTGGCGGCAGCCAGGCCAAGACATGGTCAGATGAGTTCTCTTCCCTTCAGAACTGTGGGCTGCCCGCCTTGCCCGCTTCCCCTCTCAGGATGTGTAACTCAGCTGTGCCTTGCAGGGAGGGCAGCCGTGGTCTACTCCATCACCAGAGCCCACGAAGGAGCCTGGCATGTGGCAGTTGATGGCCAGTAGCCACAAACAGGGTCTTTTTGAGACAGGGTCTCTCTGTTTAGCTCAGGCTGCCCTCAAACTCTCTATCCTCCTGCCTCAGTGCCCTGAGTGGTTAGATTTCAGGTGTTTGCCAACATGCCCAGCCACAAAGTAAGTTTCTAAACCACCGAGCCCCAAACCCCACAGACAGATGAAGGGCAATGCAGAAGTTCCTAGAATCTGGAAAAGCGCGTGCATCCTTAAGGTTCATTTTCTCTGTCTGGACCCACCATAAATTCTCCTTTGCCACCTTCACGGCCAGTGAAATGAAACAGAGGCAACTGCGCACAGCCACCACACAGGCCAATCTGTGCCACCCCAACGGCATGGAGCTCTCGTGGGGCCCTCTCTGGAGCGAGGTGAGTGCCTCCCACTGCACACACCTGAGCTTCGGTTGAAGCCTATAAGAGCTACCTTAGACCTGGCTGGCAGCCCCAGGGCTCCGTGCCTTCCTTGCACGGGGCTGGAAAAGAAACCCACCAAGTTTGGTGTCTCCTCTGAGCCAGGGTAAATACATTTGGTCATGAAGTCAGGTCCTCTTAGCATATTTTTGAGTGAATCAGATAATTCTGTCAAGCTATTTAAACGTCCCAGAAAACCGCTGGGGAGCCTCAAGTGGCCAGTCCCTGTTGACTTTGGCAAGCAGGGGAAAACCCAAGGCCTTCCCGCCCATCTCTCTCCTCTGGGGCTGAAAAAGAAACCCATTCAGGCCAGCCCCAGGCTGTGTCAGCCGGGAGGCCCTTCTCTCCAGCAGGCATCCGGAACCCGGGCGCCTGGCAGCTGGGGACAACTCTAGCCACTCTGCAGGCCAGGGCTGGGCGTGTGGGCTGGGGTCCTGTCTTGTCATCACTCTGCCTCTTGCTGCAGGCACTCCCTCCTGATGGGCACTTAGGCCGGCAGCAGGCGGGTGATGAATGAGGCCAAGCCACAAGCCCAGGGTATGCAAGGGCCCCTGTGGTTTAATGTCTTATGCCGAGGCTGGCCCTGGTTAAGTAGGTGGTCTGAGCTGGGGCGGGATGCGCAGGAGCTACGGTGGAGGGGACCTGGACCAGGTGACCACAAGCTACACTGGGCGTGGGCAGGCAGTCCTCACAACCTTCCTGGAGGAGGAAGAGACAGGCTCAGGGAGGGCCCAAGGCGTTGGGCTCACACATCCAGCGTTGAGCCTGTGCCACAATTGCTGACTGGGTTCTCTCCCCACCCGTCCAGCCTTGTCTCAGGCTGCCATCTCATATCCCATGCCCTTCACTGCCCCTTACTACATAACTCATGCTCTTGGCCCGGCCTAACCTTCTGGGTACCTCTGTCACTGGCCTTATGTCTGGCTCCCGGGGCTTCTCTCCAGCTCAGGATTCCACACAATGGTTCCCCTCCCAGCACATCCCTGCTCTCACCACACCTGCCTTTGTCCTTGCTGCTCTTTCTTTTCTTTTAATCTTTATTTCTATTTTTTTTTAACTTATTTGCCTTTATTTTATATGCATTGGTGTTTGGCCTGCATGTATACCAATGTGAGAGTGTCAGATCTTGGAGTTAGGGACAATGGTGAGCCGCCATGTGGGTGCTGGGATTTGAACCCAGGTCCTCAGAAAGAGCAGTCAGTGCCCTTGCCCCATGGGTCATCGCTCCAGCTCCCTGCTGCTCTTTCTTACAACTGCCCACCTGCCCCAGGAGCCTGGCTTAGCACTACCTCCTGTAGGCAGCTCATCTGGCCTGCTGACATCCTTTCTGGGCTTCTGCAGCCCTTCCTGCTCCTCCTCTATACGGTCAAACAGTGTAGCCTGTCCAGCATCTCCTCAGAAAGCCCTGAGTGGCCGGACACTGGGGCCAGGGACCTACTCACAGGAGTTATGAAGGAACAGATGAATGAATGGCAAGGACCCAGATAGGAGCAGCAGGCCACAGACTCTAGCTGTGCAGTGGTCAAGGCTATGCTGCCTTGGGAGGGAGGGTAAGGAAGGAGGATCAGTTGCTAAGGCCAGACCTTGAGCAACAAATTTGAGCAAGTCACTATTGGTGATCAGCAAAATGGGTTGGTGTGTGTGTGTGTGTGTGTGTGTGTGTGTGTGTGTGTGTGTATAGGCTGGGACTCCCTCTGATCACACAGAAGGATGGTGGTATGTTCACCAGCTCCAGCCAACAGGGCAAGCAGCACACTGAATGTATTGACCCTGTGGAAGGCTCTGGGGGGTTCAACAGGCCCTAGGCTGGCGCCTCTATGGGAAGTCTGGCATTGAAGGCCTGAAGAGCCAAGATGCTGGCACGGTACTCCTGAGGGCCTGGCTGTAGCCAAATTTTCCTGGAGCCTCTGAAGGGAGGGTGTGGTTGACTGGAAGCCTGGTTACCAATAGCACCCGCCTCTGGTGGCAGGGGCAGGAGGTACCAACAGCAGCTTACACGGAAGGTGGCGCAGGGCACAGGGAGGCCGCAGTCCGTGATGCACAGACGCAGGCTGCCGTCACCAGTGACAACCGATCGTGTGCCGCTCACCTGCCCTGAGCACCGCCCACCCGAGCGCTCAGGTGTGGCCCCCGAGGACTGGCTTACCATACGTACCCATCCCTGGTGCTCTCAGCTGTGGGTAGGGGAGACAGGTGGTGGTGGGAACCAGTGGTGACCTCCAGAGGGTGGTGCCTGGAAGGGACGTCATGGGAGGGGGACAGGATGCCCGAAGCGAGTCCATTTTGTGGGGTGATGGAGCCAGCATACACACCTGCAAGGAAGCAGACGGACGTCACTGGGATTTGGTCACTGAGATAGGGTATGAACATCTTAGGAGCTGGGATTATCTGCTTTCGGAGAGAAGGACAAGAAGGACGTCAGTAGAAGGGAATGGCACCCACTCTGATTTAGATCGTGGTGAACAGAGCTGAGGCCACCGTGATGGATGAGAGGATGGAGGGAGACGGTCAGAGGCATGGGCTGCTTTGGAAAAGCAGGGCGTTGACTCTGTGCCCCCAGAAGCAGGTGGGGACCTTGCTATGGAGAGAAAGCCCAGGGCTTGGCAGATCCTCCCAAGAAGCAGTGCTTCTGTAGGACAGCAGGGCTCTCTCTGCAGAGTAAACCCCTCAGACACAGGCAGGCAGAGCCTGGGTATCCACTGTGGCCAGCTGCAGAGGAGTGACTGTGTATCTGGCCCGGGGGCTCCTGGGAAGGCTTACTATGAGTAATTGTCCAGGCTGTACCCTATGGGAGGGTCGTGCCCAAGGACTGAAGACACCTTTTATCACACCTGTTCCTCATCCACACAGGTGAGCTAACAGACCAACAGGAATACCTCGTCAGAGTCACAGGCTGGTCCAGAAGCCCAGATGACAGTTTGGTGACCACAGAGGGCAGCATTGCCAAGGGTCCCGTCAGGAGAGGATGACCCCTCCTCTGGACTAGGACCTAAGGTGGGCACAACAAGATCTTCACTTTGTTTTACGATGCTGGAGACAGTATCTAGGTCCCCACACATGCCAGGCAAGATGTCTAAGCTCAAGGGTCAAACGGTTTTTGGATGCTCCCAACTTTGCCTATAAAATGGGACCAGTTTTGCCGTGCTGTTAACCTAGCATGCTTATTTGAATGGAAGTATCACTTTTCTTGAAATCAGTGCATCAAGGTCATGTTCCGGAGGATGCTCCCCTGGGGCTGTGCTCCCAGCCGCACTAGGGCAATGTCCACTGGCTAGCCAGTCTCTTCTCCCCTGCTAGCTGTTACTTCTTGACTGTGGTTCCAGTTGTGAGAGTGCATGGCGGGAGTGGGGGGTGGCAGTAGCTCAGACCCAAAGCTTTTCACGTCCTCTGAAGGACTAGCCTGGGAACACCCAGGTTCCTTCCAGGGTGGGCTCAGCTGCTTAAGAGTAAAAAAGCCAGTTCATCCTAGACCGGACATTCTGACCAGGAGGCTATTTCAGGACACTGAATGGGGCTGGGCCACCGGCCTGAGGCAGCATCAGGGAACTGTGGTAACATGGCCCCGAAAGCCTTTGAGCTGCCAACAGGCCTAGGCCTTGAAGACCGGATGACCCGCAACTCCTGGAGGTGACTGTGGTTTGGTGGCCCTAGCAGAGGTCCCATTATTAAGTCACTGTGGTTGGTAGCTATGGTATTTATTTATGTGCCAAGTTTCCCCCCCCACACACACACCTAATCTGACAGTTCGGAAGCTCAGACTCCTGGAACATCATGGGCTAAACCATGGGCTCCTCTCTGAGCTGGGCTCTGAGCATCCAGCGAAGAGCTTGGCTTTGATACTACAGGCATGGTAGCCAGCTGATCACGCCGCCCAGACTCTGCCAGGCCAGCGAGCACCCTGAAGCCGTGTTCCCCTCCGTGCCTCGGGAACCCCTGTGCTCAGCCCGCACCACTCTGCTCTCCTCAGTAGCTCCCTGCCTGCCATCTTGAATCAGTTTCGGGCCTTGACAGCTGGGAAGGCTAGAATGCTGACGGGTCCTTCCACCATGATGACACCTGATTCTCACACCCTCACTACCTATCAAGACACGCCCGCTGGCTAAGTGTCCCCTCCCGGATCAGAGAGTGACAAGCTCACATCATTGTGTCCCCCCCCCCCCGGTTTTGGACTCTAATCTGTCCCCTGCCTTCGATGCCCCCCTGGCCGATGCCCTTGCCTGTCTGCCTGTCTGCCCTTGCCAGACAGACACGTGGCAGTGACCGAGCATGTACACGGACAGTGGATGGGATGAAAGACTCTCCAGACCCTGAAGGGGTCGTGAAAGTGGGGCCTGGGCCTATAGGCTCCCCAAACCACACCACTTTGGGCTGTAAAGCAGCAACATCAATCATCAGCCATGAGCACTTAACCTCTGGCCCTAACATCTGCTCCCAACTGTGCCTCAAGCGTCTGTGTGCATCCAGCTCTGGGGAGAGGCTATCCTTCCCCCCCTCTTATTGGAGCGAAGGATTGAGGCCAGTAGGTACAAAGACCTGTGCGAGGTGGCCTTTACAGAGCTCGTAGGAGCTGTTCAATGAAGAGCGAGGCCTCGGGGACACACCCTAGCTTCAGGCATGCACCTCCCAGGTAAAGATTAGGAGGTGGGTCCAGGCCCCGAGTAGCTGCTGGGGTGCATTTTCGGCTTTGTCTTCACAGCAGTCATGGAAGGGGCACTGGAGAAGATCTCCCCTCCTTGGACTGGGCATCGGGCTAGGCAGGTCACCCTTCAGCCTGGTGGAGGTGTTCGTCACGAGTGAGGCTTGCAGCATGACAATGACCTCTGCACTTACCCCTCTGGGAGGACCAAGAGGCTCCCAGGCTGACCTGCTGATCTGGGTTGGTCCTTCCTGCCTGGTGAGTTCTCTCAAGGCAGACACTTGGGGGCTGTAGGATCCACGGCCCTTGGTAGCTGTGGTGGGGTCCCAGCAATGGAACAAGCCCCTCCCTGTCCCTTCCAAAGCAGCAGTTTTGGGATTTGGGGTACCTAGCTGGAGCGCGAGGCCCTCTTTGCAAACATCTTGGGGCATCTTCACACAGTAGGCCTTGCTGATGGGTGAAGCCATGTCCTCCCATGGCTGTCTGGTAAGGGCCCTGATGTGTTTTAAAGTGCGCTACTACTTCAGTGTTGGGGAGAAAGAATAAAGAAATGCTTGAACCGGTTGGACTAATTCAAGAAATGCCAGAGGGCACTGAGCTCTGAGGCTGTGGTTTCCTCGGGGAGCAGGGGTGGAAGGCAAAACACCAGAGCCTGCGGCTGCATCTAAAGGCCACGCTGCCCGCACCTAGGCAGTGTTCCCAAGCCACAAAGCCAGGATTCATGCCATGGTCTGAGTGTGCCCTGCAGCCAGCAGCTGCTGCTCTTGCCTGAACCAGTGGCTGTGAGTGCCATCCAACAGGCCTGCGGGGTCAGACTCAGAGAGGCCGACTCTGGGCCACAGAACTCTGTGAGGAGGATGTGGTTTTAGTCAAGTTGCCCATCCTCCCCTGCAAGCTTTGGTTTTCTCTTCTGAAGGAGTCAGGCTGGGCACTGAACAGGAGGACCTCAAGTCCACAGAGGAACTGCTCTCGAGCTTCTTGGAGTGCCTCATTATGGATGAGTGGAAGGGAGATGGGCCACAAGGAAAAACCTGGCTGATACTCGGGGGTGGGCTTATCACAAGATTTGAGACAGGGTGACATGTCCCCCGGCCTGGCTGCCCCACACCGCGTGCCGCTGACTCTGTGAGGAGGCTGGCTGACTCAGGCCTTCCCCAGAGGATTTCCCAGCCACAGGCTGGTGGGGAGACAGAAGGGAAGACTTCCAAGAGGAGGGGACAAGGAGCTAGGTTCCGAGAGCAGGGTAAGAGCCACCTTTGTGATGGGGGAGGAGGGGCTTCCTGAAGTGTGGGCAGGAGTGTGCTCAGAGAGCAGCCACAGCTGGCCTCACGGGCACATACCTGGGAGTAGCTCCTGGCTCAGGGTTTGGCCGCCCTTCCCCCTGCTGGCAGGCAAAGGTGTGGCTGCGTGGAGTTGCTGCAGTGCCAGGCACTCGGACAGAACGTCAGCCTCTGCGTCGGCACCCGTGTGCAGCTGGAGAGAAAGCAGCGGGCAGGGCAGGTGTGAGCATCAGCCACCTGCCCTCAGGCACCCCTCGCTTCTGGGGACAAGGCCGCTGCACTGGCTTCCTCATCAGGACGTCGTGAGGACTCCCGAGAAGAGCCAACAGTGCAGGATTTGACATGAGAGGGGTTTTTCTAGAGGATGTTCCTAGAAGAAAGTATGCCGGGAAGGTTGGGCATACCTTCAGCCCACTGAGGCAGGGGAGAAGGAGGGGAGCCTTTCAGGCTGGAGTTGGGGGTCCTGCGTCTCTTGGGAGGGGTGAGGGCTCTCTTCATGGTCCCTGAGGATCAGCTTTAGAGGTGTAGCCTCAGCATAAACCAGGAAGTTTACATCTACTGATGCTCCGCGGCTCCCATCAGGACGACCTGTGGCCCTAGAAGTGATGTCGCCTAGCAACTGTCCCTTCTCCCCTCTCCATCCAGCCTCCCTGTCGCTATGAGGGGTTGGACCCCAGTCTCATGGAACCTCTTTTCCTCTGTGTCAGTGGGTAATTAACCTCTCTGGGCCTCACCCACCTTGCCCATACTCTGGAGCTGTGACTGCCTCTACCACCGCAGGCCATGGCAAGTAGAGAAAAGATTATTTGTGAAGTACTATGTGTAGGGCTGGCGAGGCTCCAGCTGCCTGGCTCCCACTGGGTCACAGTAGCGGCCCAGTGTCCGCTGTGTGGACCCAAACTGTCTGGCTAGCATCAAAGCTTGGCTGGGATGATCTGGCCCATGCCACTTTGGGGCACCTTGAGGTGTCTATACTTCTCCAGGTGAGGTGAAACCAGAGAGGGCGGGACTCTCAAGACACGGGGTGACAAGGGCACAGGCACCTGCATGGGAGGTCACCCTTCAGGGGGAATCCTAAGGCTTAGCGGTCAAGTGTCCAAACGCTTCCTTTCCCGGGTCAAAACAGGTGCCAAAAGGCCAGAGCCTAGCCCATGCTCTTGGGCAGCTGAGAGTCGGCCTCCGGGAGCACGCCACCTTCCCAGGTGGAGGGCTGATCAGGCGGAGAAGGCATGCCAGTCTCACACTGGGCTCTCAGCGCCTGACCCAGCAGCTGTTTTCCATGTAAACGAAGTTTCTGGCAAAAGAGGGCCAAGGCATGTTCTTGCAGACCACAATGCCGATTGGATTAGGAACAGCAGGAGAGGAGAATTAAGGAAGAAAAGCATTTCTAATTCTCTCCAAAACGCAGCAGGGCTGCCAAGGGCTTGTCATAATACAAGGGTCGCCTTCCCCAGAAAGATCCATCATTCCCGATGGCTCTAATGGATGCTTATTGTCGGGAAGTTTGCAGATCTGCAGCCCAGGTCCCTGGGGGCTCAATGTGAGCCAAGCATGGGCCTGGGAAAACCAGGGCAGGATTCCGGCCCTTGGGCACCAGTCCACTGGGGATAGCAGCAGCCTTGGCACCTAGCGCCGGCCTACAGAAGCCTGAGTCATCCCTTGCTGCCCTGAGGCCCCTCCGCTGAGGGCTGTGTCAGGAGCTGGCACCGGCTGTCTCTCCTGGGCCGGGCTGCTTGGTTAACACTTTGAGACTCAGTTCCTCCATCTGTGAGAAGGACATAAGTTAGGGCCCACTTGTAGGACGAAAGCTACTGTACATAACGCGGCATGCACACTGTCTGGCCTGGCGGCTCGTGCCACAGTCCCACTGAGTTAAGGATGTGATGGCCTTTGCACCAGTAACACAGCGACTCCACGCTCTTCTGCTCAACCCTTCAAACGGCTCCCCAGTGCCTCCAGGACGGAGAGCCGTGCCCTGTGCTCCTATCCACCTCCATCAGGAGGTTAGCTTGCTCCTGGTACTCTGTCTCTACCTGCCCATTCCATGGGACGGACTCTCCCTGTCTGTATATGCTGCCCGGCAGCATCCATGATCACCGCGAGTGGACCACGGTGCTTGCTTCTCACAGTGCTCAAGCACTGGGCTCATCCTCACGTCTCTCTACCTTGTTGCTGCTGCCTGCTGGCTTCTGCCTGTTCCTTCGCTCTCACAGGCTCTGACAGAGAGCACCCCTCTCTCCTCACTGCCAGGGCTTTGGCGATTGAGTGCCGCAAGCCAAGATGCTCTGCCCAAAGTTGCTGCCCTGTCCCCTCCGTCATGACCTCCCAGCAGCTCCCCACTGGCTTTTCATGCAAAAGGTACCCTCTTCGATGCTTCGCCTGGGGTCCTGATAGCTCCCCCTGGCCCAGCCCAGGTGTCCGCCATTTTATCCAGGGCCATTTCCACTATGTTCCTTGCTCTCGGGGCTGAGCTTGCATTGCACTCTTAACACCCGCTTGCTCCACATGGCCCCGGAGGTATCTCAAGACTATGTCCTCTCCCCCAAGACCACCTGATGGCGTTAAGTATCTTTAGGACACAGCTCCAATCTTAGGCAGGGTTTCCAGCATGCGGTGACTGCCCACCTGAACACAGACGTCAGTACACTGCCCCGGCCTGTGCTGTGGCTCACACATGTGTGTACATGCTTCTGACATGGGACTCGGCTGCCCACGCTCCAAGGGAGTGAGTGTCCACCCCTCTACGCTTGTGACTCTGTGCCAGGTACAGGCTCAGCCCTGGACATACATTCTGTTAGCCAGTCCTCACCAGCACCCATTCCCCAGCCAGCCACTGAGAAACGGGACACACGGAGGCCTAAGGGCCACCAAGCCAACAGTGGCAGGCCCCACGGGTGGGACCGGAGCTCACACCCCCTAGATCCTTAATGGTTCCTGGTTGCTTCTTCCTAGGACCTTTCTCTTCCTACGCAGATGGGCCAAAGCCCTTTATCTGTGCCAGAGACAACCTCCACGCTGTCATCATTATCACACGTCAAGGAGCTTCCTCTCGTCTGTCTCAGGCCACTGGAAAGAGGCACCCTGTCCTTTGTTTTATACCCGAAATGCCTAGCCCAGGGCTGGGTATCAGTGCTACGGTTAAGGGTGTCAGTTTGTTGGTGGGTGAACGCCTAGCCAGTTGGGGTGGTGGGGGCAGGGCCGTGGGCCGGTATTCTGGCTGGGAGGAAGACATGGGAAATGGTCAAGCGTGTAAGGCGGTGTTGTGCACACAGGCAGGGGGGCACATGGACTGATGCTGGACAGGTGGCTGGGAGTAGAGGTGTGTGGAGGGATGGGACTGGGCTGTGGCCACCTACCTTCTTACGCACCTGCTGCTCTTTGGCCGAGTGGGCCTTCACGTGCTTGCGGAGGGAGCTGGGGTCCGTGTAGCGCTTGGAGCAGCCGGGGATCTGGCAAGCATATGGCTTCTGTAACGTCAGAGGGGCACGGGCGAGAGGTAAGAGGGCGCTGGTCAGGGTGGAGGTCCCCCACGTGACCTGCCGTGGACCGAGTGGCTGAGGGGTAGGCTGCAGTCTGAAGGCTACACATGAGGGAAGGCCCCTGGCCTGGGAGAGGAGAGGCCCTGTGTCCCCATTCGGCCACCCATGTGCAAAGGGGGACCGACTGAGCCCTGTATGGTCTTTCTAGCCCACACTGGCTGTGACAAGCAGTATGCGAAGCAGGGATACACAAGAGGTTGTCCTGGGCCAGAGAATGAAGAGAGGAAGAGGGAATGTCCCAGGGCCGGCCTGCATGACTCCTGTGGCACTACTGGCCACGGCAAGCAAGGTTCTCCCTCCAGTAACTGTGGGGGGCTGGAGGGGGCGATCAGAAACCAGGTCATTTCCTGGTACTGCCTGGGGTCCTCCTCCCATTGTCCCCACCCACACTCCAGTGTCCCCCCATCCTACCCAACCCACATCACCCCCTCTTTATCTTTGCTCAGAACCTGTCTTGTGGATTGGCCTGAGGTTCCCACAGGCTGCATTTTCCACCCTGGGCTGCCTGCCTTCCCACTGCCCGTCTGCCCTACCACGGAGGGGGCCAGCTAATCCTGTCCAGAAGTCCAGGGAAGGGCAGCTCATGGCCCTACCCGCACCTCACAGCTCAGGGGCTTCCGTAAGACCAACTTGGGGTTCCCAGCTACTGAGGCATAAAGCCCAGAGGATTAACATATTGAATACTGAAAGCTCTTGGGACTGCCCGCTGGACTATAGAGGGTGTGTGTGTGTGTGTGTGTGTGTGTGTGTGTGAAATGGCACCTCTCACAGTAAGCCCCAGGGACCGCCATGTCCAATTGGACACACCAAGCAGAGCTGCCCACGTGCCTTGGGGCGATTCTGCCCCTGCCAGAGGCGGCGGGAGGGGGGCCAGGGGCCCACTGTCCAGGGGCCTGGTGGGGAGAAGCAGAAAGAGATGACGTAACCATACCTTGGAACTGCCACGGAGATTGCCAGGTTAAAGAACAGAGAACAACAAAAAGAGAGAGACAGTGGTAAGAAGTTGACTAGGCCAACAGGAAGGCAGGGGCGGGAGAGGAAAGCCTGCCTTGGACTGCCCACCATCTGCTTCAGCATGCGAGTCCCAAACACACAGCTCCGACTTCCATCCTCCCCCCACCCCTCCAACCCCAGGACACTCTCCCATGAGCCCTGCCCTGCCCCTGAGCTGGCTGGCCCCAGGTCTTGTCCCTTGCGAATGCTGATACAAATCCACACGCTCTGGTCAAAAAGCAAACAAACAGCTCTGTGTGGCAGGCACACTGGCTTGGAGACAGGGCAGCAAGGCCCATCTTTGTGTTTGTTTTTCCAGGGCTTGACGTGGATAGAACATTCCTCAGGCCCAGTTCCCTTGAGCCCTCAGGAAACCCCGTGGCTGTCCCAAGCCACCAGCCAAACCCTAGGCCCGAAATCCCCACACAAGCTCTAAGACTGGGGCTTTGTTCTTCCTGTCAGCAGGGCTACTCTTGTCTGTAGAAACGGGACACACGGGACTGCTCCAGCAAATGAACACGGGAGACGGTTCCGTCTCTGAAGGCTCCCGAGGTACAGCACTGCTAAGCACTGGTCACCCATGGTGACCAGTGACACCTCGGAGTCCCAGACCCACCCGTGAGGACTGCAGAAGATGTCATAGCCAGCAGGTGTGTTGGTACCTCTCTGTTTGCGGATTTCCTCCAAACAGGCCAATCAAACAGAGGCCCCATCCCACTGAGGGGAAATCTGAGGCCCACACTGCCAGGGTGTGGTGGGATTCGGCTGACATTAAGACCCTGAGTGACAGACCAAGAGGAAGGAAAGGGCTCTCTGGTTAACATGCAAGCCTCTCCTCAGCCACCTCAGCTATGCCCTCTATTTTCAAGAGGCAGACTGCTTACCACTGAGGAAACCGAGGCACAGGAGCTGCGGTGGCTCTCATCAGAGCTTTCTGAGCAAATGGCAGAGCCAAAAGCAGAGCTGAAGCCTGCCTTCTCCAGTCTGTACGGAGAAATGCCTTTCTGTCACGGGCCCTATGCTCTCTGACGCCACGACAGCTGGAACTAAGGCTGGGTCTCCTGTGAAAAGCTAAGGTGCTGACTGTGAGCCTGACCTGCTGCTGACCTGAGGGCTGTGAGCTGGGACATAGCCTAGCGACCTGAAGGCGCAGCCTAAGCTATTTACACAGAGAGAGAGCTGGGTATGAACAGGGTATGGGGCCCTCAGACCTGCCAGAGGTGTCTTAGGTACATGAAGGCCTGGGATAATCCTGTGGGCTCGTGTGAACTCGACTTGGCCTAGGCCTCAGGAGCTCTGTTCACACATCAAGTGAGGCTGGGTCTAGCGAACACAGCAAAGGCAGGAGTGAGGAAGGAACAGCAAACTGGAGACGCCATGGGGACATGCCCTAGGCCTGGAAGGTGGGGAGAGGGGCAGAGGCCCTCTGTTGGATGACTTGTGGCCTTGGCAAGACAAAAAAACCAGGGGTTCTTCAGTCTACGCTGCATCTCCTGGGGGCAAGGGCAGAGGGCCAAGGACCCCAAGGCTGAGAAGGTGACCAAGGGGAGGGGCCTTGGAAGAACCACAGCTCCCTTCAGGTCCCAGCTGCTGACACTGTAGCCTATGAGGGGAGGGAGGTTGCTTTTGAGCTGGGGACAAGGACTATTCCTTGCCATTATGTCCCCTCTGCCCCGGCTCAACCCTTCAAGCTTTCCTAGTAAACAGCCCTGGGCTTGGAGTCAGCCAACGGAGCACCTGGCTCTGTCCCTTGCCGGCCATTAGCACAGAAATGATCAGACCTGGGTCTCAGCTTTGCTTTAACTCTGGCAGGTGTGAGACACTACACGCCTGCAAGACATAGAGAGGGCACAGCCCAGGGCCTGGCCTGGCTCCAGAGTCTCCAGTGATCTTCCTGCTCACTCTCCTGAACCTGGTTTCCCGGCTGGGAGATAAAGGGTGGGGCTGTGAAGGCTGTGTGTCTTCTCAGGTTTGACCTCTGCTGTTTTATGGCTTCCAGGTTGCTCAGATAGGTTGGTTACCCTCTGGGGCCTCTGCTTCCTCATCTGCCTATTGGACAGGTTTACCGAGTGCTGCCTAGACCCCTCCCAAACATACGCGGCACATGAAGAGAACGGCTCTGAGGTCCAGACGGAGCTTTCCCAGCAGATTCCAGCCTTGCGCTGCCCACAGGGTCAGGATCCTCCCAGGGTACACGCCACTGCCCCCAGCACCCATGAGACTGGCGCTAGGCTTGGGTCCGTCACCTCTGCCAGAGCCCAGCCATGCAGTCGTGAGCAGCCACAGAACCCCTGGGCCCACCCCCCTCCTGTGTCAAACGGGGCAGGGACCTTGGCGGCAGCGTCACCCTGAAAGTGCAGTGTTAACTACTGATGTCCTTATTGGCACGGGGCAAGTGTGGGGCGGCCTGGGACAGAGCTGTGCGTCTCAACTGCCAGGCATAAGCAAGGACGGAGAGTTGGGAAGAGACGCAACAATGGACGGCCATGCTGCTGTGGCAAGACGCAGGACCTCACGGGTCACCAGTACAACCCCTTACGGGACAGAGGTAGCCTGTGTATCATGCCCAAGTGAGGAGTGGAAGGAGCAGGGAGCGGCCCGCTCAGGAGGCAGATGTAGCTAGGGGAGTGAGGGCATCCACTTTCCCCTAAAGACGCTGGGGCCTGGGCTGGTCCCCAAGGGCAAAGGAGGGTAATCTCAATTGGAGGCTCTTGTTAAGTTTGGTCGGCTCATCCACATCCTCACTGAGGACAGACGGCCATACCCAAGTTATCTGTGTTTGTCACAACTGGAGGATGATGGGAAAAAAATCTGTCTCCTTAGTGGAGAGCCAGGGAGCCTACTAATTATCCTATGATACAAAGGACACCCCCCCCCCACACACACACACATACTCCTGCCACAGAATTGCCTGCCCTGTGGGGTCTGTGTGTAGCCCTGTTCCACCCCAGCCTCCACATTCAGGCCTACCTACCGTGTCGAGGTGGGTACGCTGGTGCTTGGCACGGTCGCTGGAGTTGCTGAAGGCCTTCTGGCAGCCTGGGTGCTGGCACAGGTACGGCTTCTCGCCCGTGTGGCTCCGCAGGTGGATCTTCAGGTTCTCCAGGCGGGAGAAGGCTTTGCTGCAGCCTTCAAACTGCAGGAGAGGCTGATGAGGGTTGCCCCCGGCCCTGAAGGCCCACCCACCTAGAAACCGTACCCCTAAACCTGCCTGGCCCAGTTCAAACTACCTGCTGTCCTCCCTAAACTTCTGGGAATACCGACCGCCCCAGGGAAGCAGTCAGGCTAAGAAAGTGGCCGGGCTGCAGGACAAGATGGCTGACCTTCCTGCTTCAGACGTTGGGATTAACAACTCACACATGTGCCAAACGTGCACCCTGGATCAGCGACTCTACAATGGGCCATGTCTGAGCATGGAACCCCAGAAAACGGAAGCCCAGCCTGGAGTAGAAGGCCTCCATCCCCGAGAGGCTTGATGTATCAGCCCCTCCTCAAAGGTGAGGCTGTGGCTCTCCATCAGGGATGATACAAGGACAATGGATGGCCAATGGCACCATCCCTGGTAAGTGCTGTGAGCCCAATAACCACATCTGTGCCCTGAAGTGTCGTGGTCATCGTGTAGTCACTTAGCCGTCCTAGCTGCGTACTGGTGCTGGACATGCGGTAGCCACAGCCTGGCTGTTAGGGGAGAGGAAGGAACAGTGTGGAGCCTCCACACACCCAGACCGTCGTCCACGGCCTCGAATGTCTGCCCCTGCAACCTCTGCCTTGCCTGGAGCCACCCTCCATATCCTCTCACATCAAGCCCTTCCTGCCTCCTGCCCTGGTCTCCAGGCAGCTCCTCAGGAGCCCCGACCTAGCAACAGAATCCGGACAGACCTGCCCCCTGGCATTCTATCCCTGTGGCCCGCCTGCCCGCCTCTCAGTCCAGTAGAAGGCAGTTTCAGCCTTTGTTCATGCAGGCCGCTCAGCAAGGACCGTGTCACCTCTCCTGACCATCCCAATCACCTCTTGCTCAGCCTTCGAAGTCCAGCTCAGAGTGAGGCAGTAGACTCCTTCGGTGTGGTGTTACCTACTGCCCTTCTCCACCTCTCCCCACTGGCTGCCCACAGCAGCTGGCCTTCCCGGTACATGGTGTTGAAGGAAGTCAACACTGCCTGGCTGCAGTGCTGGCGTTTAACTACAAAACTCTGAAGCACGTGACATCAATACCCCTCCTCTGGGTTCCCCCTCAGGGAAGGACGTTGCCGAAGATTCTGCCGTCTCCCTCCCCCCTGAGCTGCCATCTAGTCTTTATTGCCTTTGCCAACTGTAAAGGGACAGGGCATGTGAGTGAGCTTGGGGCATAGCTGGTGAAGTGTGTGTGGGGGCATTGGTTCTGAGATCCTGGGGTCCACCAGGCTTATGTCCTTGTCCCCAGAGGGACAGTCAGCTTCATCTAAGGAGCCTGTCTACGAGTGGTGATGTCTAGCTTGGGGCCATTTGTCTGGATGGAACAGCCCATGCCTGGGCTGGGTGAGTCCAGGAACTCAGACATGGACACTGCGCTCTAGGAGGACAAGACCACACAGGAGATACACATGTCTTCAGACATCACAACCAAATGGTCAGGGCTGTAGGCTACGGCAGCACAGAATGGGCGATTCAGCCAGCCTGGGAGCCATACGGGAGATGTCTCCCAGTGAGTGATGAGCATCCCAAGCGGGGAGAGATGAGATGGGAAGGGTACAGATGACACAGCAGCTGGTCATGCCAGCAACCATGTACGCACGGCACGCATTCCACTGACACCCCTGGGAGCCCATGACCATCACAGCACAGCCCAGATAACAGTGGCTGACAGGACAGCAGGCCACAAAAGGGCAGGCTGGGGCACTGGCACACGTAAAGGGCACGGGTCCCACTTTCACAGCGCGTGGAAGTTGTGCACCGGGGAATGCTGGAGGAAGATCAGGTAGAGAGGTCAGAGTTCAGCTGCCCTGCAACTCAGATGCCAGGCTGATGAGCTTAGAGTCCACACCGAGGACAGAGCTCGTGAACGGCTGATCGGAGGTATACTCTGGAAATTGGGGGGACAGGACCAGCCATGCACTCCGGGAACTAGGGGAACAAAGCTAGGGGGACAGAGTCATGCATGGATTGTGGGAATGAGAAGGGACTCTGAGAGGAGACAGAGAGAAGGCAGCTGCTGCAGTTACAGAAGAGGACCACTGAGGCCCAGGCAAGAGCAGAGGCTATGGCAGAACTTCCTGGGCAGCCAGGACAAGGCCCAGAGACAACGACCTCTTGGATGCCAAGTGGGTCACAGTATAGGCCGCTGCCGGGGTCAACCCAATGCAAGCCCCTGCAAGTAAGTTTCTAGTCATGGGGCCTGTTCCTTTATCAGAACAACAAGGAAATGGGTGGGAGAGAGCAGGTGGCCAGTTTCTCCCTGATCCCCAGCAAAGGCCTCGTGCCTCGTGTAATGAAGGAATAGGGCAGGAACAGGGCTTCCTCCCAGCAGCAGCTTAGGCCCTCTGTTGCTTACAGACTGACTGGTTTGGGGGGGGGGGGAAGCTTATTGGAGGAGACAAATAACTCTTAGCTACGTGATTTCTCTGGCTTTGGGAGAAGTCCACCAGACTCCAGGGATCAGTTTACCTCTTTCGCAGCAGGAATCTATGGATCCTTGTCTGGCCTTCAGCACACCTGTTTCCCCATCCCTGCCCCTGTCCAGACTGTACCTCTCCTGGGAAGCCGCCTCCTCCGGCTCTGACAATTTGAGGCATGCATTTTTCAGAAGTGAGGGCCTGTGTTAATGTCTCGCAGGACGGCCCCAAATGTCTCTCCCACCCCACACAGCCCACGCATGAGCTGTGGAGTGATGAGGCCTTTTCTTAATATGTTCACGAGGCCTCAAAGGCCCTTTCCTTCCTTTGCCCCCACCGCAAGCACATGTCTGTGCTGCGTAGCACCAGCTCCTCGGGGGAGCTTTTCCTGCGTTCCTGGTGGAAGGGTTGCCCTGCCCAGCCCTGCCTTCTCTCTCTCCCCATCTCTGTCCCGGGAGTGGCCTGTCACTCTGAGGACACCTGGAGGAAGCGGCAGGGAGAGAAGAGATGCTGCCTCGTTAGTTTAGGTCCAAGATAAAGATGCCGAACAGATCCCGGCAGATCCGGGCTTCCATCAGGGCCCAGACCTGCTCAGGCCCCTGCAAGCCCTATGGCCATCTCTACTATCTCTGTTCAAAGCTACACCGATGTAGTCAGAGACAGAGAGGATGCTGGGAGTGACCATCGGGTCGACGACTGTGCCTGCCTCCAGCAGGACTGGTGCTGCCACAGCATGCTGTGCCCATTGGCCTTCTGGGACATGCAACTCTGCCCAGTCAGATGTGGGGCTGGGGCTCAGCGGCACGAAGCGCAGTGATTACAGACATGGCCCCTGCTACAGACGACCCCGGCAACTACTGGCTGCTCACTTCCTGAGCCACCCCCCAGGCAAGTCACTCTGTGGGTCTCAGTTTCCTCATCTGTAAACTGGGTGAGTGCCACGAACCTTACAGGGTGTTGTGAGTCCTGATCGAAATAACACACAGCAAGTTCTGACCTTCTCACTGTCACTGTTGTTTCAGGTCCCAGAGCAGGTCGGCCCAGGGCAGTCTCTGGCCTGCTGCACCTCCAACAGAGCTGAGCGCGCACATGTGTATGGGCGTGCCCACACATGTGCATGCCTACCTGGGTATGCGTGTGTGTGTGTGTGTGTGTGTGTGTGTGTGTGTGTGTGTGTGTACATGTGAGCATGTATGTCTGTCTCTGTCATCTGTGTGTGTGTGTGCCTGCACATGTGTGCACCCATCTGTGTGTGAGTATGTGCACTAGGGAGGGGGCAGACACCAGCACCAGCAGTCAGAGCTGCAGGGGCATCAGGGGTTCAAGTACAGCCATGAGCCGGTCTCAGGGAAAACAGAGGGGAAGCAGAAAACAGAGGGGAGCTCGGGGCTGCCTTTGATCACACACAGCGGAGCAGGTGGGTTCTGGCATTTCTGATCCTGAAAACCCATACCATCACTGCCGTGGCCCCAACTGCTCACCGGGGTGCTCCGGCTGGGCTTCAGCTGGAGGAGCCCCCTTCCACCCAGATGCCGGAGCTGGGAACCCGCTTCCTTCTCCCTGACCAATCTGCCAGCAGCCCACGGAGAGGCCATCTGTCCAGCACCTCTCCATCCCGTCCCTGCCCATCGCAGCGTGACTCACCCTGGCATCCGCAGGGTTACCTGCCCCCCGCCCCCAGTTCATTCCCGGGTGGCATCTAGAACTTAGTATCCAGGTAGGTTCTGTCCTTATCCCTCCTGGCTACAACTGTGCTCGGCTCTCTAGCGCTTTAGCACACATACTTTTTTTTTACCCTGGTATTCTACCCTGGTGGTGCCTGACCGTGTCATCAGCTCTCACAGCGCTGCATTCCAGCATCTGTGCAGTGTGGTACCAAGTCTTGTACGTACCCCAAGGGCCGCCTTAGGCGAGTTCATTCCACCTGTCCAGAGCCCAGTTACTTCCTGGGCACAGGGAGGAGAGTGCTGTTTGTGAATCAAAGCATGCGTGTAGCATCCCGTGGCCCTTGGCCTCGATGCCATCGGTGTCCTTAGACAGTTCCTCGGACACCTCTTGCTCAGAATACCTTTAAATGTGCTCTTCAGCTCACCGGAACCCTCCAGATTCACCTAGCCTGAAGCAAAGGCTCACACACACACGGGAACAGACCCGGTGACTGCTGGGGGAAGAGCAGCTAGAGAGGAGAGACGGGGCGTCTACTAGTCTTAAAACCTGTCAAGATGGGTGGCTACTGACAACGAAATGCATCCTAAGAGAGAGCGGAATAAACTCAGAACAGCAGGGGCGGGCAGGGCCCCTCAGACGCCTACCACAGGCTACCACGGGCTACCACTAGGGCCAGTCTCAGTGAAGACAATGTGCCCTGCCAGTGGAGTGACTTCCCAGCATCACCCTGCGGACGACAGGAGTGAGGCTCAGACAGGTGATGTCACCATACTCACAGATCCCAATCAGAGCTGGGATCTGGCCCAGAGTCTGAGTGACGGGGCTGCACACCCCTCGACTCAGAGCTTTAAACCACAGGCTATTACTCCTGTGTGTTCAC